TGAGATGAACCCCAGACATGGAGTCGGCATGTTTTGAACTTGGGTGAATGATGGAGGCTGCGATAAACCTCACCCCAAATCTGTTTGGCAATCCAGCGGAACGAAGCAGCTGCCGTGGAAGTCCGAGCAAGAGAAAATCCAGAAGCAATCATGTCATATTATATTACTCCAATTTTATTAACATCTATACATATTTACATCTATTTACCAATTCAACTAGCAGCTTAGCAGATAAGAAACGCCAGCTTCCCAGAATTGGTTTGAATCCATCAGCTACAGGATCCCAATCGCCTGGTGGCATGCGCACTGCATGGGCAAGCACCCAAGAAAAGCAATGTGCTGGAACTGATGATCAGGCAGACAGGGGGTGGATGGATGGCAAGGCTGAGATTCTGGGGCCAGGTGGCTGTTAGTGATGTTTGAGGTTGGGTCTGTCCTAGGCTTTGTGCTGGTGAGTCTTTCTTGAAATGGGATGCGAAAAGGCACTGCCGAAATCAATCTCACCTCGCTGGTTTCTTGCAAGTCATTGATTCCACTCATGAAATTTGGAGGTGGCTTTCCCTGTTTGGGATATTGAAAACTTCGATAGCAGGGTAGGTGCTGAAATGTGCTGAAGAGCTGTCACTGTGTTAAGATCCAAGGCCCAACCCATTTCGATAAGTTTTGGACATCTACGCCAAGCATGTAAAAAAAGAAAAAATGGTTGGTGGTTTGGAACATGTTTTTTCTCATATATTGGAAATAATCATCCCAACTGACTGACTAATATTTTTCAGAGGGGTTCAAACCACCAACCAGAAAAACATCGAGAAAGTTTTCTTCTTGTTGATATCGTTTTTTGTTGATACTCAGCCATGTGCGCTTTCACGGAAATGTGCCAGGACAAAGTTCCCCTCTCAGTACAAGGATTGCGTCAGGGGCTGTTGGGCGGAGGTCCACACCTAGAAGTTGGCTCCAGCAACGGGTTTTCTTGGGAGATCGTTTGAAGACCAAATGTGACCTGCTGGAACATCATGTTTAATGTAACGAACGTTTTTCACGTTGTTTTTCTATATTTTTCGTTGGGAAAACTATGATTCACTATCTGGTTGGTGGTTTGGAACATTTTTTATTTTTCCATAATATATGGGATGATCCTTGCATATCCTTCCCATTGACTTTCATATTTTTCAAGATGGTTATTGCACCACCAACCAGTTCACTATGATTGGCTTTATCATCCATTTTCGTTACGTCAGTTCGTTGTGCCTCCCATTGAAACAACTTGGGTCCGGTGCAGGCATTGGAATCCAAGCACGGCAGTGGGTCCATGCATGTCTTGGCGGCCACCGGCGGGCACCTTGTATGATTTTTTGATCTCACAGTCAGCTATTGATAGTGATCCTAAAGTAGATATGAAATTGGAGGGGATTTTGTTGTTGGATTTATGTTGGATGGTTGCATCAAAAAATCAAGTAGTTGGAACATTTTTACCAGATTAGACACCCTCGGGGACCCTCGGGATATGTTGAAAACAGGTAGTTGGAATGTGGTTTGGAGGGGTAGATGGAATATTTTAGCTGAAAGCGGCCCAAACGCTTCGAAATCTGCAGGATCACTTAAATAGTTCTGCGTATACACAAAGAAGTGTGTGTGTATATATATATAATTATATATATATACAATTATATACATATGTATGTAGGTATTTGAAGATAAGTGCATAATCTACTAACATCCCCACAGATCCTGCTTGCCTGTGTGCTATTGCCAGCTGCCAAGCATCCACGCAGTACTTTGCAGTACCAGGTCAGGAAATTTTGAGGCTGTTAGGTTGCACATAGAATATTTCTAGAGGCTCTTCATCTTAGGAAAAGGGAAGACAAACTAAAAACATGAAAACGCGACTGCCCTGGACAATTCTCCTGTCGCTGAAGATCTCTTATCTGAAAACTCAAAATGGTCAGTTTCCCCCAACTGATCGATTTCTTACTACTTTTTTTTCATTCAAAAATTCAAAAACAGATGTTTTTCGCCACAAAGGGGTCCCCCCACGAGTGATGTAAATTGCCACCATTTTGTTGGAGAACTGGTTCATACCTTGTGTGAATCGAAGGGTTGGATTTTTTTTTTTGGTATTTCTGGAGGTTTTTGGGATTTTGTGGCTGTGTGGGGTCAAAAATTCTGGTTTTGTGACCACAATTTTTGGGAGAAATATTCCATCTACCTGGTTTGAAGAAATATTATACTATATCTTTTTTTTTTTAAATGTGTTTTTTCAATATGTCTCCAAACGCGTGTCAAACAATGTCTAAAAACGACTTTAACAGGGACGTAAAACGTGAGAAAACTGGGGGGTTTGGCAGTATTCCAACGATGTTTTATTGTTATTGAAAATCAGGATTGAACATGTCCGATATTCTATCTACTTGAGGATGACTATATATTGATATTCCAGAGATTTGCTGTGCTGTAGCGGTTTTATGCTCACCGACAGCACCTGCTCTCAAGTGTCAGGGGTATTGAACGAGGTGGAATGCCATTGCAAGGATAATCCAACTGCAGTTGTGCGGGTAGGGTACTTACCAGCAATAATCAATAGGGAACCCAGCCAGCAACCCAGCTAGCAATCTAGTCGGGAATCACTGACCAGCTTAATTAATGATAGTTAAGTAAGCCAGTTGGCTTTGTCCAAAGATAGGGTACGCCAAAACTGGTTTTATCCTCATTTTCCTCATCAAAATGGTCATGGTGACATGGTGGAAGTATGCCCCATTTTCAGAGCCAAAGATCATACATGGTTGGCTTTATCCCATATCATCCCATATCTATATATCATATTATATCATGACAATGATCATTCGAGATTCCATGATTTCTATCCCTTCCAAGAAGCATTGGAATTCTTCATATATATATACACATCATATATACATATATATATATATATACACATCATATACATAAATATATATATATATACACATTATATATATATATATATCCATCCATTTACATCCATGAATTCCACTTTGCCCCCCTAAAAATATGGGGGTATTGGATCTCATTTAGAGCCAGGCCTTGAGCCGTCATCGCAACCGACCTGCAGAGACTTTGGGGCGGATGAGCACATGCACTTGGGCCTAGGCTGGCTGGGCTGGAAACCATGGTGCTTTTTGAAAGCTGGTTTTAATGGAATCTTTCAAAGACATGGACGTTTATGGTAGATAGATACATATATATATATATATGTATATATATATATGTATTATCGAACTAGTTCCTAGCTCATTTTTTTGAATCTAACTTATTTGTAGCAATTTTATGGCTATATCCATGGGATTAAAACAAATTAGAACCCCAGAAGTTCGGATATGGGGCCCCTGGGCCTGCCAGGTGGGCAGCTGGGTGTGGCCACACTTGAACCATGGTCATCTTGAACCTCAACAAAATGACATCTCGGACTTTGGGCAGACAATTTACAATTTCAAGGCATCTATTTATTCTATACAGATTGACACACTGTATCATCCCTGATACTGACAATTGTCATACCGCAGATAATCACAACAATACCGCACAATTATGCTAGCAATGATGAAACTCATGGTAGTACTGTTTGTTATTATGTGTATATATAGATATGTATATATATATATGCACATGTATTGCTGTTTACTAGTAATTACTCACTATGTGCAAATAGTATTATGTCAATGTTATATATATAATGATATAATTATATATATTATATTATTATAACAAATATATATATATATATATTTACATATATATATACACTTATAATAAATAAATATATATATATATACACACATTTCTTATGGTCATACTACCATCCATGTTACTATTTGCAGGCAGAATCTGACTCCAGGCTGTGATGGTTGCGGCTTGTGGCCCATTTGTGGTGTGGCCTACGAGGCGGTTTTTTATTGGTGTTCCATGGGGGATCCTCAAAAGGGATGGTTTACAAGGGAAAATCCATGAAAAATCCTATGAAAATGGGGGAAAATCCATGAAATTGCCTATGAAAATGGGAAAACCCATGACAAATCCTAAGAAAATGAATGATTTGGTTGGTTGATAATGGAAAATCTTATGAACATCCTATTGAAATGCATGATTGAATTAGAAACCCCTATTATTATTTTAGGAAACCTCCTAATATTAAATAGCCATATCAAGAGTGGGAATATCCACAAAATTACATTTCTTATGGCTTATCTAAATCAGTGAAACGGTTCCTGGGTCCCAGCTGATAACTAGTGATGTTATGGCGGACCAAAGGCTGGTCGGAAACCAGCCCATCTTGACCAATTCCCATAAATAATACGTATGTATATAGTATGTACAGATGGTTAGTATATGTTAGTATAACACCAAATGGTTTTATAATGTTTTATCGATTTTACTGTGGTAGTAGTTTTATACACTTAAACCTGCCGCGGACTCCACCTCTAAGGTAGTGAATGATATAGAGTAGAAGAAAAAGCACGTGTCTTAGGTTTTTCGGACATGCTAAGTTTTTGAGTACACAAATTCTCGAGCAAAACACCTCATGTTTGCGGATCGTGAAAACATTGTGTGGGTTAGCCATTAGAAACCACCATGGCATGGCAGGATGTGGATTGCAGGAGCAACACTGGATTTCATTTGTGTGGCTTGGTTCTGATTCCAATGCCCTGGCAGGTGAGGTGGATGGATGTTGTGCAGCTGGAGAATAGAACACGTTGAATGTCTCCATGAATCAAACTACTAACCATGGTAGATACATGTAGATACCTAGATATCAATTAGGTTCATAACCCAATATCAACCAATTTCATCCTATATATATATATTATCCAATATCAATTATGAATATTAGCCAATATTATCCTTTATGAATATCAACAAATATTTCATAATTCATGTTATTCTTGAAAAAATACCCAATAATTCCTATATATTTACCCAATATTACCATCCATATTAATTGGATCATATATTAGTACCCCTATATTATCCCAACATCAACCGATATGGAATCCCACGGAATCCCATGGATTTGCGTGGATGAACATGGCCGGAAATGCTGGGAATTTCCCTATATTAAATGGAGGCTCAAAATTAATGTTAAAGTGGAACATTCACCTATAATATATATATATATATATGTATACATATATATATATATTATTAAGTTAACTTGTATGAATCCTTTTCTTGTGAAATTGCTTCTTGAAAGTGGGGGTACTGGATGGCACTTGTACCGCACCACTGGCTGTGCACCCTTGACAGGGTTCAGCGAAAAACCAGCACCCTTGGTAGCACCAAGAGTTGCATTCTGGTTGTGGAAAACGTAGCTCTGGAAAATCAACATGTTTTCTTTGTTTGGGTATTTCCAAGTATAATCAGATTATAATCATAGAAAAAACAAGATGAAGCCCACGAACCCGAATGCTCACACGTATGTTAATGGTACAGATGTCAAAACACATGGTTATGCAGTCACGCACAATACCTTTCTGCAATAGTTTATTTGAACAGTCTTGTGCATGTTTCCCTTGTTACCAGTCTGCAGTGTGGAGTGGAAAGTGTAGAGTGTGGAGTGTGGAGTGTGAAGTAAGGAGTGTGGAGTGTAAAGTATGGAGTGGGGAGTGTAGAGTGTGTAAAGTGTAGAATGCGGAATGTAAAGTGTAGAGTGTGGAGGATGGAGTGTAAAGTGTAGAGTGTGGAGTGTAGAGTGTGGAGTGAGGAGTGTGGAGTGAGGAGTGTAAAGTGCAAAGTGTGGAGTGTGGAGTGTAAAGTGAGGAGTGTAAAGCGTGGAGTGAAGAGTGTGGAGTGTAAAGTGTGGAGTGATGAGTGTGGAGTGAGGAGTGTAAAGTGCAAAGTGTGGAGTGTGGAGTGTAAAGTGTAGAGTGTAAAGTGTGGAGTGAGGAGTGTGGAGTGTAAAGTGAGGAGTGTAAAGTGTGGAGTGAGGAGTGTGGAGTTTGTAAATTGTAGAGTGTGAAGTGTAGAGTGTAAAGTGTAGAGTGTAAAGTGTAGAGTGTGGAGTGTAGAGTGTAGCGTGTGGCGTGTGGTGTGGAAAGTGTAGAGTGTAGTGTGTAGGGTGTGGAGTGTGGAGTGTAAAGTGTGGAGTGTAGAGTGTGGAGTGTGGAGTGTAAAGTGTAGAGTGTGGAGTGTGGAGTGTAAAGTGTGGAGTGAGGAGTGTAAAGTGGAAAGCGCGGAATGTAAAGTGTAAAGTGTGGAGTATAGAGTGTATAGTGTAGAGTGTAAAGTGTAGAGTGTGGAGTGTGGAGTGTAAAGTGTGGAGTCTAAAGTGTAGAGTGTGGAGTGTAAAGTGTGGAGTGTAAAGTGTGGAGTGTAAAGTGTGGAGTGAGGAGTGTAAAGTGTGGAGTGTGGAGTGTAAAGTGTGGAGTGTGGATTGTGGAGTGGAAAGTGTGGTGTTGAAGTGTGGAGTGTAAAGTAAGGAGTGTAAAGTAAGGAGTGTAAAGTGCGGAGTGTGGAGTGTGGAGTGTAAAGTGTGGAATGTAAAGTGTGGAGTGTGGAGTGTAAAGTGTGGAGTGTGGAGTGTGGAGTGGAAAGTGTGGAGTGTGTAAAGTAAGGAGTGTGGAGTGTAAAGTGTGGAGTGTGGAGTGAGGAGCGTAAAGTGCGGAGTGTGGAGTGTAAAGTGTGAGTGTGGAGTGTAAAGTGTGGAGTGTAAAGTGTGGAGTGTAATAAAGTGTGGAGTGTGGAGTGAAAAGTGTGGAGTGTGGAGCGTAAAGTGTAGAGTGTGGAGTCTGGAGTGGAAAGTGTAGAGTGTGGAGTGTGGAGTGTAAAGTGAGGAGTGTAAAGTTTAGAGTGTGGAGCGAGGAGTGTAAAGTATAAAGTGTGGAGTGTGGAGTGTAAAGTGTGGAGTGTGGAGTGCGGAGTGTGGAGTGGAAAGTGTAGAGTGTGGAGTGTGAAGTGTAGAGTGTGGAGTGAGGAGTGTAAGTGTAAAGTGTGGGGTAAGGTTGTAGAGTGGCGAGTTTGGCAGTGTGGAGTGGAAAAGTGTAGAGTTGTTGTGTGGAGTGTGGAGTGTAAAAAGTGTGGAGTGTAGAGTGTACAGTGTAGAGTGTAAAGTGTAGTGTGTGGAGTGTGGAGTGCAAAGTGTGGAGTGTAAAGTGTAGAGTGTGGAGTGTAAAGTGTGGAGTGTAAAGTGTGGAGTGAGGAGTGTAAAGTGTGGAGTGTGGAGTGTAAAGTGTGGAGTGTGGAGTGGAAAGGGCGGAGTGTAAAGTAAGGAGCGTGGAGTGGAAAGTGTGCAGTGTAAAGTGTGGAGTGTGGAGTGAAGAGTGCAGAGTGTGGAGTGTGGAGTGTAAAGTGTGGAGTGAGGAGTGTAAAGTGCAAAGTGTAA